GAAAATATAGACGATTACAATACGGAAGCACAAGAAATTACAAAGGCCTAAGCTGCTATTTATACTAGTTCCTAACGACCTTTCTGACATGACCTAGACGTGTGAAATCATCCAAGCCGTTCAAATAAAGTCGATTAAAGACCTAATCATGTGAGAAGCACATGCAGCTAACAACCTTTGAAAAACAACAGAACAGGATCTTCACAGAAGACGAATCCACAGACCCTCTGTGAGCCATCTCAGAGGCTCTGCTGTAGAAGACTTGTAGGTTCTTATTGCCAGAGGACCATTTTCCAGAACCTCTGTAAGAGACATCAGAGGTTCTGTCATTCTTGACTTGCACGATGAAACAGCTTCTGTTGCTGGTCCTCTGTTGTCTTCTGTGGAAGATACCCTTCTGTCAACACTTGCAGAATACTTTTTCATACTTTTACATGAAGTAAATATTAGAGCTAACAAGAGCAATGTTGCTTAACACAATTATCACATCACATTCAACTACAGATACGACACAATTATCATAGCGATGTCGATTATCACACTATAAAATGCCTTCAAATATCACAAAGATCGAATCTTCAGATATAGAAAACGATGGGGACGTGAGATTCTACCTGATCAGATTCCAATCTAAAATCATGGGATAATTACAATGAATTAAAATAACATATGAAAAAAAAAATACCTGATTACATTACTACCTGTATTGATTTTTTTTCACAACTGTTTTCTTTATAGGGGTTCTCGTTTGAATTCCTACATATATATATATATATATATATATATAGATAGAGAGAGAGAGAGAGAGAAAGGGAAAGTTCATTTGTAAATCATCAATTTTTTTTGTGAACATGATGACCAATCTCGATCCTTCATCTTATTTGATCCAATAACTCACATTAAATAAATTTTTTAATGAAAATTATTAATTAAGATGATTAAGGGTAAAAAAGGAAGTTAACTTAAACCCACGCATACCTTCTTTGACTTTTTATTTTATTTTTTATTTAAAAACTTTTATCCACTTAAAGTTTAAAATAAATTATCTTAAAAATTACTAATA